AGGACTGTTTCTGGAGGCCCTATTTACATTTGAATTATAATAATAAACTACTTTTATACTTTCAGTAGTCCGAATTTCCATTTACTTTCGTTAAATTCGGCCAATATGAGGTCCAATTTCCGTCAAAAGGTATCAGTTGCCTTCTGAGCATTAGGAGTTTATACTGATGAGTTGATTATATTCAGCTCATTAAAACAATTACAAATGGCTTTACCTTAATAGTCCTGGATTACTTTTAACACAATTAAATATTTACTCGCACTCGTTCGCCAAGGATTAAATGTTTGACCACCAAGTTCGTTAGACAGTTGAGCAGGTGCCCATACGAGGCAGTTTTGCAGAAACTGGACAGCCATCCAAGTTAACCTAGCATTTTCAAAGTTAGTAGGGGGTTTTGGCCGAGGTGAGTAATTCATTGGACGCAGTAGTTCGGTTGGCTAGAACGTTGGATGTACTAAAGCCTTCCTTTTGTTGGCGTGGGTTCGAATCCTACTGAAGCCGTTGAGTTTTTTCACGACTGGGTCAAAGGAATTTTCAAGGCTTATGAGAGAGTGGTGTCTTTCTGGGTCGATGTCACGCAAAGAATGAAGTTGAGGCTACTTGAATTCGCGAGTCTGAGAACGAGAAATTACACTTATGCTTCAGAAATATAAGTAAAGTAGAACTGCTACGTCATGAAATGTAAACCGAAAGGTTGAAACGAGTTTGCGGTTCTGAAAGATCACTTAAATAGCGTTGCAAATATACATTATCGTGCAGCACAATCTCAAGATACTTTAGACACGCCAGAAGGCCGACTTCTGAGGGAGCTCCTTTCAGAACACCTGCAAAAACTACACTCTGTAAAAATCACTACTCAAATAGTATGAAGTTTTCCCTTTGATTTTCGAAGTCTATATAAATCAATGCGTATTTTATATTCAAAAAGCGCATGAAAATATTCTTTATTGTACCTTTTTCGTAGCCATTTGCATTTTCTGCAGATATTGCAATCGAAGAAGGGATACTGTTCGGTTTAAGGTTGCTAATTATGAAATTCTTCAAGATCGTGAAATGTCCACTAATAAAGTCTCCTATCCTTTTACTTATTAATACTGCTTATAAAGTATAGTGCAGGGTCGACATTAATTGCAAAATTTCCTCAAGAGTATGTGGCGTCTTTCTCAAAGCATAGAGAAATATGTGATTTCCTATACATGGAGAACATATGACATGCATTTTAGGAACCCTATGCAAGTTTGGCTCAAGATTTTGCCACAAGTGAACGTTTCTTTAAAGCTGAAAGATATCCTTTTTTCAAGTATAAAATTTGAAAAATGCTTCATTTGCTACGAAATGAGAATAAAAATACTATTCTCCTACATTTTTTCGATGAAATATATTTTAATGTATAATGCAATCCGCAATTATGGCAAAAAATTCACACTACTTAAGCAGTCCTTTTTATACAGTGTTGTTTTTTGTTGGCGTTAGGAAAGAAACATGATAAGAAGTCACCATCCTGGTCGGAATGAAATAGCCTGGGATTTTGCTGCAAGATAATAAATACTAACAACTTTACATGGGTAATTTTTTCGAAGGAAGCACGTTTCAGTAAGAGTTTTATGAATTCATTAATGAAGTATTTTAATCTGTCAAGCAACTGCCTTATAATCATCTGGTGGATTCTACATTAACTGCTTGGGAAATCCCGCTTGCGCAGTCAGTTTACCGTATCAGAACTGGTGAATACCTTTAGGTTGCAGTAGGCTGAGCGGGCAAATCAACCCAAGCGCGATTAAACCCACGGCCCTTAGTCGGGGGAGATCGTACCTTAGTTGGCTAAAGCATTGGCTGTACTAATGTCTAGCCCTTGTTGACGGGATTCGAATTCCACCGAGGCCCCCAAGTTTTTGACAGTTGGGTCAAATGAAAAGTTTTACCTACGGTGAGTCTTGATCAGAAAGAGGACATATCAAATCTTCACAATACGTGCACAGCTCACCTCTTTTTCTGAGTTATTTAAGCAGTCCCAGCCGTCGAAAAGGCATGCCTCTGTGTTACAGGCTGGATCACATTTGCCGTCACCGAAACGTAGATGGCAGGGTACACCAAGCTCATTAATGCTGGTACAGTCAGCCCAGGGCCTAGCCAGTTTCGGCCGGGGTACCTCCTCCTCCTGCGGTTTCTCCGTTGGCACGAAGGACACCTTCTCACGCGCGAGGAGAGGGAAGAGACACTCGCCGGCGTCGAAGCCGCAAGCAAGATGGTCGCACTCACGATCGCATACTCCATTGCCCGCCTTCTCGGCACACCTGGCAAGTTTGCAGAGACCGCGTTCAACCTCCGCGCCGGGCCATTTCACCGGACTACTGACTGCTTCAAGGGTGCAGACAAAGCCTGTCAGTTCACAACGCTGCCCACAGAAGCCTATACAGAGAAGAGAGCATTGTTTGATTAGTAGCAATAGTATTAATAGTAATAGCAGTGATAGTAATAATAGTAGTAGTAAAAGTAGTATTATTAGCAACACTAGTAGTAATATTAGGAAGAGTAATAGTAGTAACAGTGATAGTAGTAACAGTAATAGTAGTAGTAGTAACAGTATTAGTAGTCATAGTAGTATTATTATTGGTATTATTAGTAGTAACAGTAGTAGTAGTAGTAGTAGTGGTAGTAGTAGTAATAATATTAGTCATAGTGATAGTACAAATAGTAATAGTACTGATAGTCATAGTAGTGATAGCCATAGTAGTAGTAGTAGTAGTAGTAATAGTAATAGTAGTAGTAATAGTAGTAACAGTAGTAGTAAAAGAAGCATTATTAGTAACAGTAGTAGCAATAGTAGTAATAGTGATAGTTATAACAGTAATAGTAGTAGCAGTATTTGTACTTATATTAATGGTAGTAATAGTAGTAGTAGTAATAGTAGTATAGTAACAGGAGTAGTAGTACTTGTATTAGTGGTATTAACGGTAGTAGCAATAATAGTAATATAAGTATTAGTAGTAGTAGTAGTAGTAGTAGTAATATTAGTATAAGTAACAGCATTAGTACTGTTAGTAATAATATTAGTAGTAAGAGTAATAGTAATAGTAGTAATAGTGATAATAGTCATAGTAGCAGTATTTATATTAGTAGTAGTAACAGCAGTATTAGTAATAATAATAATAGTAGTGGTAGTAACAGTAGTAGTAAAAGTAGTATTATTAGTAACAGTAGTAGTAACAGTGACAGTAATAACAGTACTAGTAATAGTAGTATTGGTATTAGTAGTAGTACAGCATTAGTAATAGTAGTTGTAGTAGTAGTTGTTGTTGTTGTTGTGAATTAGTCCTCACCATCGGCACATTCGCATGTAAAGTTGCCGGGTCCGTCAATGCACTGACCACCATTGAGACAAGCGCCGGCGACAGAACACTCATCGAAGGTATCGACTTCACAGGAGGCTCCACCCAGCCCCTCCGGACATATGCATTGAAGCTTATTGCTTGGCTTGCCGGAGAGGGAGTCGGTGTTTCTTATTACCTCACAACGGCCTCCATTCATGCAGGGATTGGAGTCACAAGCCGGCACCGCTTGTTCGCATCGAGGCCCACTGAAACCAGGCTGACAAATACATTCAAACGGGTCTGTCTTGAAGGGTCTGTTTCGGCATACACCACCATTGAGGCAAAGTGCCTAAAAGTTGAAATCGCAAAGAAAAGAAAAGGAAAATCATTAAAAGTTCGCGCTAGTGCAGCACCAGAACATTGCCAAAAGTCAGCAGAATGTGGTAAGAAGTTGTTAGAGTCAAATTTGCCAGCTTTTACTGGACTTCTGTCACTTACACCAGCCTCGGCACAAAAGTCCCGTCGTTTTTCGCAGTACCGACCCTGGAAACCGTCATAGCAGGCACAAGTAAAGTTGTCGGCTGCTGGTATGCACTCAAAGGTTCCGCCGGGGTAACAGAGGCCGAGTTGTGTCTTTGAGACGTGCAGCGCGGAAAGCAGATTCTTCTCACCTAACTGTAGCGGCGACTCGGCTGGTAGTTGAGTCGCCATCACCGCGGTGGCGGCCATGAGCGACAAAGACCGCTCACTGGCTACGAGTTGAGGACGGTCGGGCGAGGAGGTGAGGTCCGAACGGAGCAGCTGATGACAGAGATTGAGGCTCACCTCGCAGTTGCGTC